GCTCCCTTCATCATTATTCAGTGTCGTTCTTTGTCTCTTACTACAGCCTTTGTTTTAAAGTATATTTTGTCAGAAATAAGTATTGCTTTTCCAGCTCAAAATGTTCATTTGCATGAAATATCTTTTTCCATCGCTTACAGTCTGTATGTGTCTTTTGTCCTGCGGTAGGTCTCTTGTAGACAGCCTATACCAGTATATGGGTCTTGTTTTCTCATCCATTCAGCTACCCTGTATGTCTTTTGATTGGAGCATGTACATTTAAAGCGGTTATTCATAGGTATATATTTATTGCCATTTTATTCTTTTGATCACCCAAGCAAGGTGCTCCAGGAATGTCCCTTCCATGGGTTATGTGAGCCTTCCTGTTAGAGTTGAGTCTGGATTGCTGTTGGTCCCTTCTGTAAATGGGGTCAACCTTTAGGCTGCCTGCCTATGGGGAATGGCCCCGGCCATCATGTACCAGCTACTGTGTGGATGCTGACCACACAAAGCAAATTTTGCCTGAGCAGGGGCAATGTGTGGCTTCTGGAGCTCAGTGGGTCCTGCTCTGATGTGGTCTGGAGTCTGCCACTGGGTATGTAGATTCTGCGGCCTCTTGGGAGGGACTCCAGTGCAGGCCAATGCCAGATGCTGCCTGTGGGTCTCAAGGAGTTGTCCGGGTGAGGCCAGCCCTTTTCACACACCCCCCCTTCCTACTAGTCTCCCGGTGGCTTTTTCTGTAAATCCTTGCTTATAAGACTTCTCTTCAGTTGGTTATTCAGGTTGATCGTTCTATATTTTAGCGTAATTCAAGTTTGTTCCTGGGAGGAGGTGAGTGTACCTTCCACCTACTCCATGGCCATCTTGGATCTCAACAAGTAAAATACTTTTAATGACTACAATGTTCAAGATAAACCTCAAACTGACTTGTGCAAAATGTCCTTTGGTTCAGCCACCTGTTAAGAGTGTATGTAATTCCACGAAGTCTTTTACCAGAATCTCCCAGCACAACCAGGCTCCAAACCATTTAAGAGCCCACAGATGATTCTGCAGTGATTCTGTGATTTCTTGCTTTCCTAAGGGACTTGTGTCTAGTGGCTGGCTGTGCAGTCCCTGGGCTGGGCTGAGCATCGTTACCTCATACTGCCACTAGAGGGCAGCCAGGGACAGAGAGAGAGGAGTTTAACACTTCTTGGTTATGTTTTCTCTTCAGCATGATCTTTATTTCACCAGATAAACAAGGAGAAATTGAAATTGAAGCACTGAAGGGAAAAACAATCTAGGTAATAAATAAATAAGAAAAATCTCTGTATTTAAAGTATCCCCTTTTCCTCCGAGAGATTCACCAAAAAGGTGCAGAATGCTGAGGGCTGCCACAGTTAGGCACTGAAGACCAGTCATCTTGTTAAGAACTGGGTTACAGCATGAGCAATTGGCGCGCTTAGAGTTTTGCAGGAGAAAGTGAATCCAGAGCTGGTCCTCGACATTCCCTGTGGGAGTCAGCAGGAACAGGAGCTTTGACCTCATACACACCTGGGCTCCATTTTCCGTCTGTCTCTCCCTCACTAGGTAATCATGGACGGACAAGTTACAGAACCTCTCTGAGCTTCTGTTTTCTCATCTATAAAATGTGGCCAGCAAGAAGACCTGCTCATAGGTGATAGTGAGCATCACACAACAGAATGGCTACCGAAGGCTTGGCACACAGTAAACGTTCAGTCAATGTCGGCCACTGTCATTATTTCTGGTCCTCAATTCCCTCCTAAGCTGTTCCCCACTTCCATCTGTGCACTTATTATTTCTACCTAATTATCCCATCGTCGCCTCAAACTGAACATGTCTGGAACCTCATCTTTCTTACTAACTCCCTGGCCTGCTGCTGTCTCTTTGATTGGCTATTCCTTCTAATGGACATAAAACATACCATCCTCTCTAGCACTTCCTCTCCTTCGAGAAGCATATTCAATTAGTTTACAAAACAAGTCGATTTGCTCTCTAATGTGTCTCCATCTGGTTTCTTTCTCTCTGCTGTCACCAGTACCCAGGCCTTGGAGGCCTGCTCTCTTTGCCCCCAGGTTCTGCCTCAAATGGGCAGATCTTATTGATGTCATTTCCCTTTTCACAGTGGCTCCCCAGTGTCTTTGAATTAGATTCTAAACTGCTTGGTCTGGCATTACAGTCCCATCACAGTCTGACCCCAACCGCCTCCAGATGCCTCTCTCTTCCTCCACAGGCTCATTGCCTCTGCTCCTGTTGAGCTGGTTGATGTACCGTTCCCTGGAATGGTTGCCAGGCTCAGGGAATAAAAACAGACACCCAACTGAATGTGAACCAGATAAACAACAAATAATATTTTGTGTAAGTATGTCCCATGCAATGGGCTTCATACACACCTGTGCAATAGGACAGATTTTTACTAAAAAAAAAAAGTACTTGTTTATCTGAAAAAAAAAAAAATCACATCTAAATGGGAATTCTGTATTTCACCTGGCAACCCAAGTACAGTCCTCTCTCTGCCCATCCACACAGCTCCATTCTTGTCTTGGAAGCTCTTATGTCTTGCTGTACCCATCAGATCTCCTTCTGCCCTTCCAGGCCCAGCTCAGCCTCAGACCTCCATGAAGCCTGCCTGGATGGAGCCTTTCTTATCTGGCACTCCTTCTCTACCTCATTCATTTGGTTCCATTTGTGTCCTCTGTAATTCTCTTTCTCCAAGTAAACGTTAAGTTTATCTCAGGCAGAGATTGTATTATAAGTAGGAGGATTTAATAAACATGGTTTGGTTGTATGGTGCTGCTTCTGACCTGTACTATAGAATGTGAAGGGCTGAGAGCACAGCAGAAAAACCTGCAGAGGCCATTAATCTGGATGTAAGGTGCTTCTAGGCACGAAAATCAATATGCGACTCCCTCTCCCCACACAGCATCAGGCCAGGCAGGTATGGCTGCCTGACCTAGGCGTGTTTCTCCTTACACCCCACTCCAACACACCAGACAAATTGTGGATTCATTTGCTAACATCTAAATTTCTCACCACTTCACACTATCCCCTCACACTCATATATTTAAATGTGAGGGCCAGGGTGGCTATACTGTGTGATCTGTAACCTGTAAACACATAGTGATGACAGCAGTAATGCTGGAATCCAGGAAATACATTTCTATTTAATTGATAGAGAAGCTAAAAAACATTGGCAGTTTTCCCCCAAATGACCAAACTCTAATAACGTAAAATATTCTTAGGAGTTTCAAACTACATCAAGAAATCTGTGAAACTATTAAGTAATTCCCAAGAAGTCTATTTAAATAATTGGCATTTCATGAATATATGTATAAGTAGCTATGGACATCCAGAAACCAATAACTGACAATAACATTTCTAAAAGTGAGAAAAATATAATCTTAGAATAAAACGTATAACATAATTTTATCTACTTACATCTTCAATAGTGTTTAAAACATTTTTATTCTCGTAATGTAAACACACAAATGTGTCCAGCGAGAAAGTTGCTTTGAAACGGTGAGTGGAAGGACTTCAGTGTTAACAGGGTCACTGTAGGCAAGGACTCTATCACTAGACCCACACGGAGCGACAATTAATTGGGTTACCTTGGATTTCACTTTGCGGAAATAATAAAATGAATTCAGAATTGACTTTGCAGCACCAGAGTGTCCTGGAAATAAATGCTAAGACTTTGTTCTATTTGACTCTTCAGATTCATCGTATTTGTCTAGATTAATTTTATTTCCCTCTATTTTTCACAACCTAAGTTCAACTAAAAAATATTGCCCTTTCTATTCAAGAATATTAGACTTTGCCACAGTTTCCATGGGATGAATTATAATTTTCTAATCAGAAAAAAAATAACCCTGATGGTCTCCCAGGAGAGAGAACAGCCAATGAAATCCACAGACCAAGCCTTGGCCTCCTGCGCCAGTTGCAATCTGGCTGGCTCAGCTTTCCCGGCTTCTAGCTTTGCTATCTTCTTGCGACAGATTCTAAACATAACCAACCTCAAACTGGGAAAAGCCAAACACCAGCAACCTACTTCCTTCTGTTCTTCCTTTCCAATCGACCACCAGAACCTTATCCCATTGTTCGACATTGAGGTAAGATTAATCCAGTTCTGCAGGGCACACACGCGGATGCTATCAGCAGTGGATGCAAATACGGTGCATCCTTTAAACAAACGCACTTGTTTGATGTCAAGGAATGTTGAAAGAATGTGGAATGTCCCTAGGAGCTTTTCAAGTTTTTGCGGTGATGTCAACTGCTCTTGGATTTCATCCATCCCCTTGTGACCTTCCCACTTCCAAACCCAGTGGCGTTTTTCAGGTCCCTCAGAAAACATATGCTGAATGAATGTTTTGAAATAATAACTTAAATGGCAGTAATTATCTATCATGAACAAATTCTATCACTGGACCTGTTCAGTGCTGTGTTTGTGCTTCTAGAAGATTCACCTTTGTCTGAAAATGATGCCCAGGAGACAGAAGCTTTGTACTTAAAAACCGACAAACTTTGTCTTCACTTAATTTTACACAAAATTTAAATTTGGGTTACAATGACTTTTCTAACATTGACCATTGATGCCTGACGGCCCAGTAAATACATTCTAAACCAGTACTGATCAAAGAAATGATGCATGGATTATTAATCAGTACTTCAAAAAAGAGAGAAAAGCAGGCAAATATCCAGAAATTATTTTTCAAAAAGACCTTTAATGAAATTACTTATACTACTCATTATCACCCTAGTAATAACGAAATGAAGGAAACCTGAGTGCAGATAAAGTTATCTTAAGGAAACAACCACTTTAAAAAACATGTATTATTATTATTAACAATGGCAGATTTCATAACTGAGGCTGATATCTACATTGTTTCAGAGATACAAGCAGAGCTCGGTGAAAAGTTGCATCAGGACCTGCCCTCAGGTCATATACACAGCCCGGAGCTACTATCCCACTTCATGATATGCATGTAGACACAGCCATGGGCAGCCTTAAAAACGACACTTACCTTACCTCCCCGACGCGGGATCATTTAAAGTTCATCTCTATTGAATCGCCTCTTGCTCTCCACCAACCTTAGCAATTCTCTCCCACGTGTCTGAACTCCTAGAGATTCCTGTTCTCTCTTCTAAAATGCTGTCATTATCTCCGTTGCCCAAATCCAGTTCGAAAACAGGGAGAGGGGGAAAAATCCAATTTGCAAGCTGTTTACGCCTAACAACTAACAAGGACAGAAGCTGCTAAGCTTTGAGCTCAATGAATTAAAGGTTGTTTGGCTAAATGGCAGGCACACTTCCTCCTATTCTTTCTGAACTTCGTTTTCCTGCCTCCAGAGGAGCTTGTTCCTTTCCTGGGCTATAAATAGACTGGTCGCAAGAGTCGGGAGGAAAGAAGAAGGCAGGAAACGCATCTGATTTCAAAAAGCAGTGTTAGGTGCATATGTGTGTGTGTGTTTTTCAAGTGAATACCCATAAACAAGCTAAGGGAAATTCAGCTGTGGCATGTGCGCCATTCTCAAAATTTTCTTTAATTTCTTCGAGGCTTGGCATCCCTATAAATTGTCATTTACCATAAGCAAAGCTTGTGTTTGGAGATACATCATTGTTCCATGTAAAATACCATGAACAAACCTATATCTAATCGTTCTTTCCCCAGAGCAATGTCATATAAATTGAATTTCCTCGGGGAAAATTAGGGAGAGGGTGGACAACTGGCGATACCCTATTTGCTTCTTTTCCTCCAAGAGGAGGTGAAGGACTTTGAGGCAAAGTCCAACAAAAGGAAGAAGTCATCAGGTGAACAAGAAAACCAGACCTTTTGCTTAAAAGAAATTATGAGCTTGAATTTATAAACCGGTCATTCATCTGCGCTAAACTAAAAGATTGTCCACAGTCTTGCCACTCAATGTTGTTTAACTTCTCATAATTGCAACACACATGGAAATAAAAACTAGATGTCATTTCTCACATTTCAGGCTGGCAGGTAACAGTTTGGATATTGTCTGATACCGTTGAAGTGGAGAGAAATAAGCATTTATATAGTAGGGGATGGAAGTGTAAACTGGCATTAGCTATTTGGAGGTCAATTCTTCTCTCAAAACATTAAGTACACGTACTCTAACAAGAGGCTTTAACATGGCTGATTCTGCGAAGGGGCAGGGGTGCAGGTCTGGGATGGAGGCATAGTTTAGGTTGTGATACGCAGACTTTGTGCTCTTTTAATTTCTATACTGTGTGTGCTTTAAAACGTTAATTTTCAAGACAGAATTTTAAAAAAATGTTATTACTTCATATGGTTCTATTAGAGATCTATTTATTACATGGCTACGGATCATCCTACACTTAGTGCTTATCACCAAGCTGCTCTTTACACTGGGGTAAGATTTTGAGAAGCAATAGCTAGAGAATTTCTTGGATGGAGGGGCTACTCTAAGTGACGTTCACCCACCAGCAGCACTTTGATCAGAATCTCTGGTGAGGGGCCCAGCAGTGTGGATTTTAACTCCAGGTGATTCTGTTGCTCCCTAAGTTATAAGAACCACTGGTCTATGGAATTGTTTTGTTTAGTCTGTATTTATATCCCACCTTCTAAAAAGGATTTGAGACCACTGATTTTTTTTAAAATGTAAGAATAAAGAAAAGTTTTGAGTGCTTTTTAGGCTGGTGACTCCTACTGAGGCAGCCAGGAGAGTTTTTACACATACGGTGAAGAAAACACGCTCATTTCACAATGACTTCGGAGAAGCAACCCGCGGCAAGGCAAAGAGCAGTGGACAGAACAAACGGAGGAGATTTAAGGGCGAGACAAAGGAGCGCTCACTGTGGGGGAGTCATGATATAAGTGGCTAAATTCGAAGCCAACTTTACCAATATATGTGTATTTGAAAATTACAAGTTGCCTGAAATAAGGCTAACTCAAGCAAAACATGAAGAAATTAAATTAAAAGTCTCTAGAGGCAAACATAACGTCCCACTCCCTATTCTTTCTCAGTAATTTGTTTTCTGACCAGCCATTTCTTGTCCATCTGTAGCCGCCGTGCAAAGCCCTGTGTATTAGAAACAATGAGCTCAGCCAGAGCTGGGGAGGGACAAGCAAGACTCTCTACATCCCGGGCACAGATGGGGAGGAAAACATTTCTGAAAGAGAGAGACAGAGAGACACAGGGAGAGGAGTGAGTGACCTCCTTGTACCAGCAGAAAGGAAGCGGGAAGTCCGTGACTGTCGGGATATAACAGCTGCAGAGACTGAGTGGCTAAAAGGTACATGAGTTGACATGGGCTGGCAATGGGGTCATATGTCTCTAGGAGCAAACCATGCTCTCGTGTGAGAAGAATGAACACGTCTAAGAAACTCCAAGAGCATTGACCAGGCTTTCACTGTTCTCTGGAAATATTCCTTCTCTTTTGTGGGGACATATTTCACTCCTCAAAAAGGACAACTTCACAAGCTCCCTCTATAGCCCATGGGTAGAAACGAAGCACTAAAACATCTATGAAAACAGAAAGGCTCTGCACTCTTAATCTAAAACTAATGACAGACTCGCTCAAAAGGCACTAAGGGAAAAGGTCAAAGGCTTTGTGAGGAAAGGTACTATGCAGCTTTCTTTAACTATTTTGCTTCTGCAACTGGAGGAAAATAGATTTTTAAAATTGCAGCCACCTACAAAGAATTGAAATGTACATATACAACATAGAGGAGATCCAAGCAAAAGTCCTCAAAAGCACACACCAAAAAAAGCCTATATGTTAATACTTAAATGAGCTGAATGCACTGTAGGTATCTGAACCTGTATGCCTTGTAGGTATCTATCTATATAAAACCCTAATATGCAAATAGACTGAACGGCGGAACAACCGAACCGGTCGCTATGATGTGCACTGACCACCAGGGGGCGCGTGAGGAACATGGTGGGCGTCGTCTGTGGCAGGAAGGTGGAGCAGGTGAGCGGGGGCGCCAGACCAAGGCGGGGCACCGGTCACTGTCATCGGGGCAAGCCTCTGGTGGTTACTGAAAATTCTTCGCTCCCACATGCATGGTCCCATCCAGTGCTCACACCTGCTGCAGGCGCCAGAGCTGCCGCTTGCACCCACTGCCAGTGCCTGGTACCAGTCCCGATCGCTCGGTGCCGTGAATGGGTGCAAGCAGTGGCTGCCAGCCCCGAATGCCCCTGAGGGCTTCTCCTCTCCCTGCTCCTGAGGGGTGTTTGGGGCAGCAGCCACCGCTCGCACCTGCTGACGGCACTGGCCCCACTTCCACCCGCTACTGGTGCCGGCCCCAATTGTTCCTGCTCTGCACCGTCAGCAGGTGTGAGCAAGGCCAGCACCATCAGCACATGGGAGCAGTGGTGGCAGGAGTGGGCTGGCTGACATGGAACTGGGGGTGGGGGAGCAACAGGGCATGGTGGGAGGGGCAGGGTGGGGATGCGGAGGATGGACCAAGACCCGCCCCTGTGCCCACTGCAACCTCTCGGTTCCTTTCAAGATGCACGAATTCATGCACTGGGCCCCTAGTTTTTAATGCTACTTTATCTTTGTTCACAAAGTGTGGACGGTCTAGGTGATAATCTAGACCTTGGTAAAGTTTAGTTGGAAAATCTAGCCAGACTGCCTTTGTTGTATTTGACTTTGGTCTCTATTGGCATTCTGTCACTTTGCCATGCACCTAAAATAAAACAGCACGAGTTTCCATGCAATGGGGAGAAAAAGAATCTTGAGACTCTCCCATAATAAATGCCCAGAGCTTTTTCAATTCTGTCAAGTCTTAAATCTTGTGTCATAGTAATTAAAGGACATTTTAATTGGTGTTGTGGTAAAAGCTTTATTAATTTTGAAGCATGAGCACCCTCATTTTGCTGTTTCTGCCAGTTGTGTGTCCCTTTTGGAAAGCCTTTGGACTCCACCATAAGGTGGGCTGTGAAGCTCATCACTGTTGGAGGCAGGAGGAAGTAAATCCATCACTGGGAGGAAAATCTTCAGAAAAGAAAACAGATCATTGCAGGGACGGTGCATGGCACACGTCTGAAGGCAGACGGAGGCTACCAGGGGCTCCAAGAGTACTGGTGCCAACATTACCTTATTTTTGCACAACATTTAGACAGAAGGAGGAAGGCAGCATGGGAAAGAGTGTGGCAGTGAAACTGATTTACCCATCGCAGAGTAAAATTTATTGCTTTGGCGGCCACTCTGGTCTAATAAAGGCCAAGTGGTAGGTTGGCTGCTGATTTAATAGTCCATACAGTTTCCTTGCTTAAAACAACAAAGAGATTAGTCTGAATTCACATAACCCCCTGAACCATATAATTATGCAATTCATGAAAACAGTTTAAACGGAGTTTACATTGATATTGTCAAGGTGAACACAATCACAAGCTTTAGAACTCTAACATAAATTACTGGGTGCAATTCATCTCAATTAAGTGCAACAAGTTAAAATGATTGAGTCTTCTGGTCATATTCACTATGACCAGGAGACTCTCTTTCCCTTGCTGGCAAGCTGCTGTGTTGTGAGCCACCACTGGAGAGGGCTACGTACGTGGCAATGAGCAAGGGTAGCCTCCTTCTAACAGCCGCCAAGAAACTGAGGCCCTCAATTCGATAGCATGCAAGGAGCTGGATGCTGCCAACAACCACGTGAGCTGGCAAGCAGCTCCTTCCCCAGTCGAGCTTCAGATGAAACAAAAGCCCCAGCCGATACCTTGAATCTTCCCAACCCAGATGCTAGAAGCTTTCGAGATGATCCCAGTCGCAACCAAAACCTGACAACAGTCTCCTCAAAGACCCTAACCCAGAATGCCCAGGCAAGCAGCTTCCTACTTCCTGATCCACTGAAACCATGAGAAACAACACATGCTTGTTGCTATTTTAAGCTGCTAATTTTCAAGGTGACCCATTAAGCAACATCTCAGGCTTTATTAGACCAGAGCCTGAGAATAATTGAAACTGCTTAAGAAAGTCCAAGAGATTCTTGTAGTCACCTTCAAATTTCTCCGAAGAAAGGAGTAGTGGTGACTAAAAGATTCTGCAGCAACGGAAGCTCGTGTCATCTCTGCTCCTAAGACGGCTAGTCCATCTTCACCATGCTTAAATGAGCCAGGCGGACTCCTGCAAGGAGAGCACTACAGCCATTCTTCTGTATTGCAGGTTTGGTTTCAGACCACCGCAATAAAGTGAGTCATATGCTCTTGGGTGGTAGAGGGTCCTGTCTTCAATTTGTAAAAAATGCCACTTCTGTGAAGCACCATAAAGCGAAGCACAATAAAACG